CATTATGTCAATCGCAAGAAAAAAAATATATATATTTTTATGTCAAATACTACCTATATAGGCTATAGCGATCATTCTTTGGTGGAATCGAAAAAATTTGAGGAAATATGTAACCGAGATTTCATTATTTGATTCAATCGTAAAAACACTTGAGTAAGTCTGGACAAACAAATTGTATGATTGACTGATTGAGATTTGAATCAAAGACTTCATAAAATCAAAGTTTAATATTATTTTTATTTTGTAGAAGGTTAAATAAATAAATTATATATATATATATATATATATATATATATATATATATAAAATTGTGATAATTACAATGAGTTACGGCTTAAGTTGAAATAAACAAAGCACAGTGGGCTCAAAAGAAGACTTCACAGGACATTTTGGTTGACACAAAATAAGTCATTGCAAGTTTATTATTATAGAATATTGTTATGTTGTGTTTGAAAATATCAAATTGGTGTTTGGATTTAATTACTCAAATTCCGACATTATGTTAATTTGTTGTTTTTTATTTGTTTATTTATTATCCTTTACATGGCTTAAGTACATTGTGCTTCGATTCTTAGTTTGTATGTAATTTAGTTGCATTTAAATTGCAATCTTGGGGTTGCGGTTCCATCTTGGTCCCTTTCCTATTATGTACACATTAAGTCCACATCTATACAACTGTTTATTTAAGAAAAATAATAAAATAAAAATCCTTAATTCTCTTATATAAATAAATATGAGTGTGTGTGTGTATATATATATATATATAAGTATTAATAAATACCTATTAGTTATATGGATAAATAAGAAACTTAAAACTAAAAGAATTCCTCCTTTAGAACGAGGGAAAATGGAATCTCTTGACATGATTTTATTCTTTATTTAAAAATTTATTAATTAATCGAAAAAAGAAGAAAAATTTGTAGGTCAGTAATTGGGACCAAGTAACCAACACAGATCTAAGCATATATTATATTATTGAATGACTTGGTACCCAAGAAAATATTTGCTCTACTCCACACCTTAGGGTTTCTAATCTCACTCTGTTGAGGCTGAAATTTGCGCAGTCCGATATGATACCGTTTTCCTGCAAGGAAGAGAGGAGAAGATCGATGAACTTTGACGGCACCGGTGTGGTGCCTGCCAAGAGCTCTCCGACGAGGTAAAAACTATTATTAATCCCTGCCTTCTTTTTAGACCTCCGGGACTAAAGCTTTGGGAATGGGGGACAACTGATAGGGAAAAATATAAACCTACCCTACCCTCGATAAGATTGATTAGATTTCATTATCAAGGATAATGAAATCTGACGTGGTTCAACGGGTAAGAATAATCCTATTATAACTGGAGGAGGTCAAAAGGATTAAATCATATCCCCGACAAATCTGGCAACAAATCTCTTATGATTTCGCACAAGCGGAAGATAAGATCAACCATTGACATCGGCGGAACAATCGACAGTCATAAATAGGGCACCAAGCCATTAATCTGTACTCTTACTTCTCAAACCTCAGATGAGCTTCGCATTTTCCTGGCATAGGCCTTACGGGCTGAGCTCGATTCTCCACCTCCTGCACACCCCCCGGCTATGACCCTGATCTCTCCTATTGGTTGTTGATCAGGAGGGTGGTTGTCTCGGCCTACTCTTAGTGGGTTAATGTCGGTTCTCATTCCCCACAATAAACTTTTGCATGTACCCCCTTCGGATTAGAGTCTCAATCTACCGTTTTCCTACAAGGAAGAGAGGAGAAGATCGAATTGCGCGAATTTCAGCCTCAACACACTCCAAGACTCATTAGGATTTCTCTACAATGGAGACCCAACCCCTCACTATAAAATAGTTCTTCCTACCCGTTGCATTTTTTTAATTTAAGGTAAGTAAGGGTGGATGTAGGGGTGAGCTTGAGCCCACGCCAAAATATATATTTTTTATTTTTACAATACTAATTTTAGCCCGGCCAAAAATAAAAAAGTTATTAATAGAATTAGCCTACCCAATCAAGCCCAAGTCAACTCAGCCACTATACTAAAATAAAGGTCTAAGCCAAATAAGCCCAAGCCGGCCCTGACCCAAGGCGACAAAAGGGCCTCAAAATTTATGGGTCCATGATGGGTCACCAAAAAACAAAATATTTTTAGGTCAAAAATTTTTTTTTTTATTTTTATTTTATTTTTATACCTTCTTTACTTTCTTTAATATTTTCCTTTCTTTTTTGTTTTTTTACCAGAGGTCCTCTTAAAGAAAATAATTTATTTCATACTAATAATTTTATTTTTGACTTTTTTATTTTTACAATCGTATTCAACAAAATTAACATTTTTTCAATTCTATCAAAAGAGGTAACTTTAATTTTTGGTAATTTTTTATGGATCCTGTCAAAAGAAATAATTTATTCGATAAAAATAACATCTCTCTTTTTTGGGTCTTATCAAAAGAGATAATTTATTCAATAGAGATAAATTTTTTTTTTAATTATCTTCCTTTGTACTTTTTATATTACTATTTTTTGGGATCTTGACAACGGAGAAATTTTTTTCACTAAATATAATTTTTTGGGTTTTTTTTTTCATGTCAAAAGAGATATTTTTTTTAATTGTTACTTTTTATCCAGTCAAAAGAGGCAATTTATGCATCACAACAAAAAATAAATAATAATAATAAAAATAAAAATTTGGTTCCTTAAAACAAAATTATATTATATTTTATTATATTTGTGCTGACAAAAGATACTTAAAATATTAAAGATTAAAGATAAGGTGAGAAAATATGAAAGGGCAGTTGGTCATGTAAAAAGTAATAATTATTTACTTGTAAAGTTAAGGTTAAAATTGCAATTTTATTTAAGATTGTAGTGCATATTGCTTACCTATAATAATACCAATATATATAAAGGTTATTTTTATAGAATAAATTATTTCTTTTGTGAGGATTCATAAAAAATTACCAAAAAATAAAGTTATATCTTTTGACAAAATTGAAAAAAAGTCAATTTTGTTGAATAAATATCTCTTTAGATTTGTTAAAAAAAAAAGTGACTATGTAATAAATTATCCCTTTTCACTGCCAAAAATAAAATCATTAGTATAGAATAAATTATTTTCTTTGAGAGTACATCCGGAAAAAACAAAAAGAAAGGAAAAAAAATATTAAAGAAAGTAAAGAAGGTAAAAAATAATAATAATAATAATAAAGTTGTATAAATGATAGTTATGACATTATAAATTAAGGAATTATGAATTAATGAATTCAAGGACTTTCTTGTCATTTTCTTTAAAAGAAAATGACAATAATAGTATAATGGGAGAAAAGTGGAGTGCGAATTCCTTTTTCTTTCCCCACAGTGGAGTGCGACTTTTTCTCCCCCCCCCCCCCCCAAAAAAAAAAGGCTTTTAAGAATACAATTAGCATATATAGAAATGAGAATTATTTATTAACTCACGAATTTTAATTTGAGATTGTATCTTGAATTTGCAGCAGTGGTATACATTTCGAATCTTAATTTGAGATTGTATCTTGAATTTTACCGTGGCGATGTCCCTTATTTTAATACATATTATACTTTATTCATTTATACATTTGTGTTTCCCATTTTAACAAACTAAACAAATTGACAATTAAAGGAAAAAGTAAGAATGAACAATAATTACACTGGTTTCTTTTTCTATTTATAATTTGTTTTTATCAACTAATATTTATTATTATTATTATATATATTTTTTATTCACTCTCTTGACTTTTGTATATCTTTATTTACCGAACTTACGTAGAAGTTTATCTTTGTTGAGTATTTTTAAAATTTAACCGCAATAAAAAATATCGAATTAAAATATAATTTAAAAAAAACTTAAAGTGAACAATGTAAATTAGGGTCCTTATTTATGAGAAATAAATTACTTTCATTGTAAAAATTATAACTTTTAGTTTAATTAGTTGAAGATTTAATAAAAAATGGTCTCCTAAACTAGTTGAATTCAAATTATTGAGTTATTTTAGGGTTTGGATTCTATAATGATAAATTTTTATATTTTTTCTCTATTTCCTATATTAAAAACTTATTCGCAGCATAAGAAAGAAAATACTGGCATAGAAAACAAGGAGAAAATCTTTCTATCCACACCTTCATCACCGACGGCAACCGGACTCCTTTCTTCTACATCTTGGGTCTTAAGTGGCCTTGCATCTTAAAATACACAAAATAATCAAATAAGCAGTCACATAGTTGATATAAAATCACAAATATAAATTCATGAAGTTTAGTGAAAAAATTATTTTAATCAAGTTTATTTATTAATAACCCACGTTTGTACTTTGATGAGAGATATAATACAGATATGTACTTTAATTATTCATTTTATATTTTAAAAATTATAAAAAATGTTAATAAATTAACACAAAAAGAAAACTTTAATTTTTTATTATAGTATAAGATTATTTTTAAAAAATATATATATAGTGTGGCACACATCTCGATACTATGTAAAGGATGGCACAGTGTGGTGCGCTTATGCTATCCAGCTGACATTGTCATCAGCAAAGTGCAAACAAAAAATTAAAGGATAATAAGTGATACCCTCTCCCAACTTCATACTCTCGGTGTACAGAAATATCCACCGATATTTTCACCATCTTCTTTAGTGTAAATTAAAAAATTTAAAGAATAAATTATGTTGGTGTGTTAATTATCATGTCAAAATAATGAAATCAACTGATATATATACATAGGGTTGAGCAAATAATTTGTCAATCCGATTCGTGTGGTTCGATTCGATTTTCAGATTGCATAGTTCGGTGATAGTTTGAAAAATCTATAATCCGGTATTCGCGGTTCAGTTAACGGATTGACCCTGAAAAAAACCGATCTGAAACGTTAATCGATCCGATCCGAACCGAACCGTTAAATAAATAATATATTAATATTATATATATATATATATACAATATACAATATACGGAATTTTTTTTTCTTTATTCATTATTCTTTTTATGTTAACCTAACCCTAACTTAGCCTCGCCTCTTCATTACTCCAATCTCATTTCAGCCGCGCCTCCTTCACTAACTCAGCCTCTTCTTTTCACCTCTTCGGTCTTCTCCTCTTGCCCCTGTGAGTCTGTGACACTCTTCGCCTCTGTCTTCCTCTCGCCTCCCAATCTCTCGCTTCTCAATCTAACACCTCTCAACGATCGTTCACCAGATTCGAAGCAACGGCGACCTCTGCGTATCGAAGCAACGGCGACCTCTTTGACTGGATCTACCTCTTTTCCGGTGAGTTCATAACATTTTTGCATGGATCTTTTTATTCTCCTCTTATCTGAACATTTTTTGCACGGTTCTTCTAATTCTCCTCTTTTCTACTTCTTACAAATTATTTTTTGTAATGGTTTTCCACTGATTGCATGCATAAACTGTTGTTTGATTACCAGAAAAGGATTGTATTTTATCTACTTAATTTTTTGATTTTTTCTACATATTTTACCTTTGTTTTGTATAGAAGTTCCGGTAATGGAGTATGTAATATATATATATATATATATATATATATATATATATATATATATTTGTTACTTTTAGATTTAAGTTACCAAATATGATTGCGACTTTTATTTCAGTATTTTTTTTTATAAATTTAACAACAAAAATATAAAATAAAAACACTTTTGAAAGATATTTAGTAGAGTTTCACTCAACAGTTTATATAAATATTTATAGTATGATTTTTAGAATACAATTAAGTCAATCTAAAGTGAGGTCAGTGGGCTAACTAGAAAAATTTTATGAATTTTTGGACCTATAAAAAGTGAAATTTTATGAATAATACAAATTTTACGTATGGGTTTTGTTTTAAATTTTTTTCTAAATCAACTAATCAAGGTTTGTGATTCTTGTATATTTACAATATAAAGTAACAAAATTTGCATTGCAATTTGAGGTAATCACCGTAATCTACATTTTATTTCAGCAAAACAAATATATATTTTTTAATTTCTCTATTTCTGTTTTTTTAATTTACCAGAAAAGGGTTGTATTTTATCTATTTAATTTTATGATTTTATCTACATATTTTACCTTTTGTTTTGTATAGAAGTTCCTGTAATGGAGTGTATAATATATATATATATATATATATATATATATATATATATATATATATATTTGTTACTTTTAGATTGATTGCGACTTTTATTTCAGTATTTTTTTTTTATGAATTTAACAACAAAAATATAAGATAAAAACAGTTTTGAAAGATATTTCGTGGAGTTTCACTCAACAGTTTATATAAATACTTTATGGTATGATTTTTAGAACACAATTAAGTCAATCTAAAGTGAGGTCAGTGGGCTAACTAGAAAAATTTGTCCTCTCTTTATTAGAGGACTATAAAGTTATAAAGGAAATATTTTTTATGTAGAAAGTTCTAAATCTAATTATTATCACTCATCTTGTTTTGGAACATTTTTAATGTTGTTTTCAACTTTATTTTTGTCCACTTATATAATTAATTATCGATTAATCTGTAGAATATGATTTGTTATAAACATATCTTTCAAACTAAATCTGACCCACTTTACATCTAGAGAGTAGCAGAAATCTACACCCATTTATTGGCTAGCAACTAATTTTCCTGTCCGTGGGAACCGATCGATCCGATCCATTCCGTTCAGTTACTTTACGGATCGGTTTGGCTCGGATTGAAGGCCCCCACAGATCGGTTCGGTTTTAATTTTCACCAATCCGTGGGGACCGGTTCGGCTTGGAATTTATCCCCAAACCGAACCGATCCGAGCTATGATCAGGCCTATATATACATACATTTTTTTTTTTCTTTTCTTATTTATTCACTTTTAGATAAAAAATAATAAAAACGTAATTTCCGTATATTCTATGGTAAGAATTTTTGGACCTATAAAAAGTGAAATTTTATGAATAATGCAAAGTTTTACATCAAACTGACATAGACAATAACTCCTATATTAATTGAAACGTTTTTTCAGTTATAGTATGAATTTTTAAATAAACCTTATTAAAAATTAGAAGACATAATATACTAAGATGTGTGATTTGATCAAATTCTGATTTTATAAATTGGGAATAAAAAATTGTCTTCCCATCTGTCTTCCATTTCTTTTCTTTTCTCTATTGTTTGCATTTTTTCATCCCTCATATGTTTTTTTTACCTCCCGTTTCTTACCCTCCAAACAACACTAGCATTAGAGAGATAGGGATAGATTTAGCTGGGTGAGTAATGGCATAGTGGTGGCATGGTTGGTGTCCTTGAATTGTATGGAATATGTGATTATATGTGTGTGTCGGACGTTTTCGAACAAAGGAGAATCTTTTTTAACTGTCCACTGCAAGTGACACCTGGTGAGCAGCTGTAGCCGTCAACGTGTCGAACAACCATTGGTAAGGATCTGCTTCTCATCCTTCTCCAAAAAATATATTTCTAGGGCAAATCATTTCAGCCTCCCTAATTGCCTCCATCTCTATTCTCGTTCTCAACTCTAAACTTGCCCCCCTCTCTCTCTACAACTACAAACTACAAAATCTACAAGAATCAGAAGTTCAAAACCCATATATTTCAGTTTATCTATCTGTTTTCAAGAATCAAAACCTATTACCTATATCAAAACCCATATCGTCATATCATTTCAGATTGTTCAAAAAATCAAAACCCATATCTTTTAGTTCCCATCGCCCGTTGTTCCAGTTCTGGTTCGCTGTTCGTAAGCTTCAGCTGCTGGCCCACTGTCTCTCAACTCTCAAGCAGTCAAGCTTGCTCCCCCCTCTCTCTCTGTGCAACTGCTAACTTGTATGTATGGGTTTTAATTTTTTTTTCTAAATCAACTAATCAAGGTTTGTGATTCTTGTTTTGCAAACTAAATCCTATTTGGTGAAATTTTTTATGAACTTTTAAAATATATATATATATATATATATATATATATATATATATATATATTTACAATATAAAGTAACAAAATTGCATTGCATTTTGAGGTAATCACCGTAATCTACATTTTATTTCAGCAAAACAAATATATACATATTTTTTTATTTCTATAACTTCTATTTCTGTTTTTTTTTTGGTCAATTATGTCTACAAGAAAATTTGAATCTGGGCACGAAAAAAGAAAAAAAAAAGAAAAAAATAATCTGAATTCGATTAGAAATCTGCAGAGATTGAATCTGAAACAATTTTTATCTACATGCCAAGCTTTTTGAAGATGGAAATCTTTTCAGAACTAAAAAAAAAAAAAATCATAACAAGAACTTTGACAAGAAAAAGTACTTAATATAGGGTAAAGCTCTATAGTTACTTCTTGAAAATTAAAATACTTACAAAAAGCGTGCTTTTGAGTGAATTCCATAGCGTTGGAAGGGGCTTGCCATGAACTACCTCACTCTTTGCTTCAACTAGTAGATTCTTAAATAGGATTAGTAAATTGGTCAAAAAAAGAGATAAGGTACGGAGTGGTGAATTGTTCAGAAATAAATTGGTAATTTTTTTTTTATTAATTACCCAAATAGGATTTTCTATGCCTTAATCAGTCAATTGTCTAAAGAAACATTGTTAGTTAACTAAAATTGAATTAAACAACAGTTGATTTTGGTTGATTTATTTTGATTTTGCCCACCCCATTGAGAAATCGTGGATGTTTTGTTTCACATAGAAATACAATTTGTGTAATGCACGAAGGATATATTTAATCTTGTTGCCATATTTTTATTTTCAAATTTTGGTTTTTGATTTTCTTTTGTTTTTAGAATGAAGAATATCAGGATATTGATTTGTTAATTTTGAAGATTATTCCTAAACTAATGCATTGTACTTTGTTATTAGATTAATTTAACATAAGAGCTGAGTATAATATGTGCTAATCACACCTATTCGTGATCACCCCTCTTTCTACGGATAGGTGTCCAACATTTTGACTGAAAGCATAATTGGGTTGTGTTGATACATGATACAAATAGTACTTAGATGGTGGTGTTTTAATTGTTACGAGTGAGATTGTGAAACCTCTTCCTCACAACTTGAGTGTTTTCTTATTTTTAGGGTTAGCATCGGGCATTAACATTTAGGAAGAATAAGGTTCAAGAAACATGCCTCCTCAGTCATCGGGTAACAAACTCTTACTTTTTCTAAAATTTTAATTGACATTTTTAGCTATTGGTTATGTTTATTTATTCATGTTTTACATACTGATTTTTTGTTTTTTGTTTTTGTTTCTACATACATATATATAATATTGTTATGATGTGATGCTCGAACAATTTATTAATGGGAATTAAAGACTTGGAAGTTTAGTTTTCAATTTCAGAATATATGTTTTACAAGTTTGTTAACGCTTTTAAAACTTTTCCTTTTTTGTTCTTATAATATAGGTTACTTTTTTGAAAGAAGAGAGTTGATGGGAATGGGTGGAATGGGCAAAAAGAAAATAGGATGTTTTTTTTGCCTATCTAATTGAGTTATATAAATCCCCTTACCATTGTAGCAGCGATGTTGGTTTTAAAATGACCAATTATGATACGAAGTCTCTTTTCAATTATCTTAATCAAATGTATATCTATGCAAGAGGATTATGTGATTCTAGATGACGATTCTAGATGAGGATGTTAATGTTAACGTTATGAGGATGTTGATGTCAACGTTAACTCTATCGCACTCCATCGTGCCAGTACTCATCCGCACTCGGATCATTCAAACTTTTGCAATTGCTTGTGCTAACACTGACTAGCACTTGCTCATGTTTATCACTTACGTTGTGATGTCTCACGCCATCCACCAAGATCGAACACTCACTCGTATTCGAACTCTCGCACCCACGCGTGCCAACAATCACTAGCACTTGCTTATGCCTATAACTTATGTTATAGTGCCTATCACCATCCTCTTGGCTTGCACACTTTTACACACTTTAACTATTGCACTCGCTCTAACGTGCCCGCACATTCTTACTTGTGTATATCATTTTGCGTTATAGTGTCTCTCGCCATCTACTTGGCTTGCACACTCTTTGACACTTGAACTCTTGCACTCATTAGTAACCCTGGCATCGCTCCAGGTTACCAAACCCTGGAATTACTCTGGGTCATCAAGCCCTGGTATCGCACTAGGTCACCAAACCATGGTACTGCACTAGGTCACCCAACTATGGTCTCGCTTCGGCTTACCAAACCCTGGTATCACTCCTGGTCATCAAGCCTTGGTGTCACACCAAGCCTTGGTGTTACGTATACTTGCTTAGGGAATTTCAGGGGATCTTTGTGATGAGTACATAAAGGTTGGCAAGCGCACTGCGATCGAAAGCTTGAAGAGATTTTGTGATGCTGTAATTGCATTGTATGCGAAGCAGTACCTACGCTCGCCAAACGAAAGCGACATTGCACATTTACTTCAAAAAGGGGAAGAAAGAGGATTCCCAAGTATGCTTGGCTCTATAAATTGTATGCATTGGGAATGGAAGAATTGCCCTAAAGGGTGGCATGGCACACACAAGGGGAGAGGTCGTAAGCCTACCCTCATATTGGAAGCAGTTGCATCAAAAAATCTATGGATCTGGCATACTTTCTTTGGTATGGCTGGTTCACACAATGACGTGAATGTCTTAGATCATTCCCCAGTATTCAATCGTATCATTAATGATACAATGCCTTTAGTTAATTACGAGGTGAATGGACATCACCGTACGTTGCGGTATTACCTATCTGATGGTATATACCCTAAGTAGGCAACTTTGATTCAAATCATCCCGCACCCAACTACTGGAAAAGAGAAATTGTTTGCTCAAAGACAAGAAGCCGTTAGGAATGATGTTGAACGTGCATTTGGTGTGTTGCAGATAAGGTAGGCTATAACGCATGGACCAGTATATTATTGGAAGAAAGAAGACCTGAGCAAGATAATGAGAACGTGCATCATATTGCACAACATGATCATAAAAGACAAGGGCGACACTAACATTTTGGAATGGACACCTCCAATGGATGAGTCGGTCTACCTTCCACAGTACAATCGAAAGAAAGAAGACCTGAGCAAGATAATGAGAACGTGCATCATATTGCACAACATGATCATAAAAGACAAGGGCGACACTAACATTTTGGAATGGACACCTCCAATGGATGAGTCGGTCTACCTTCCACAGTACAATCGAGACCGATCATTTTTGGCAGCACACATCTCCACTCGCCTTAGCAGGATTCGCAATGTAGAAAGCAATGGAGATCTCAGGAGAGATCTTATGGAGCATTTGTGAAATAAATTTGGCAATGAAGAGGTTTAACGATAATATTGAGTAAAATGTATTTCTTCATATTATATGTTTGTGATGAATAAAATATTACTTTACAAATTTTTTTTCTTATATATTTGTTGACAAATTTTAAAGAAAAAAAAATCAAAATCATAAAAAAAAAATTTACAATAAAATCAAATTACATATAAAAGGAAATAGTAACGAAAAAAAAAATTAAAACCATTTCTAACAATATGATTTTTTTTTAAAAAAATTCATATATATTTGTTGACAAATTTTTTTAAAAAAAATTTCAAGAGACGAAGAAATACAAATCATAAATATTTATTTCAAAAAAAAAAAAATAAATAAAATAATCAAAATCATAAATATTTTTTTTACAATAAAAATAAATTACATATAAAAAGAAATAGTAAAGAAAAAAACCAAAAGAAAAAAAACAAAGAGCCGTTGCAGCAGTGGTGGGCCTTGTTTGGCTCGCAATAGCTTTGTTACCTGTTGCGAGGTCCTTTGCTATTCTTCCTCTGGGTCCCACAAATTGCTAGCCTTATACCAAAGCAAACACTAGCAATTCTAACTCCCTAGCTAGCAATAAAGGCCTTATACCGGTTGCTCTAAGTAGTTAGATGAAGACAAACAACTTTTATACCGTATTCATAAATTGCTACAAGGACATATTAAGAAATTCGTATCATACTATTATAAAAAAAAATCATAAAAATTAACACTCTTAAAAAATTATATATTTTAAAAGCGACATCTTTTACGGGACAGAGGAAATATATATATATATACTCTTGGAACCTTTTTTATTTTTCATTTAAAAGGGCTTAAACAAGCCCATCGTTCAACCTGACAGTAGTACAAAAAAAACTTTTTAAAAAAACTAGTGTACATAATTTTACCTTATTCATTCTACAATGACAATGGATATGTACACTAGTTTTAAGCCCTTTTAAATGAAAAATAAAAAAGGTTCCAAGTCCTCTGTAGGAGCAGTGTCTCAGTAACATATATCGTATATGGTATATAGTATATAATATATACTACAATGACAATGAATAAGATTATTTATACTTAGTTCAATTAGTTGAAGATCCTTTAAGAGACAAAGTTGTTTCCTGATGATTAGACATAATCCATTGTCATTGTAGAATGAATAAGGTAAAATTATGTACACTAGTTTTTTTTAAAAAGTTTTTTTTGTACTACTGTCAGGTTGAACGATGGGCTTGTTTAAGCCCTTTTAAATGAAAAATAAAAAAGGTTCCAAGTCCTCTGTAGGAGCAGTGTCTCAGTAACATATATCGTATATGGTATATAGTATATAATATATACTACAATGACAATGAATAAGATTATTTATACTTAGTTCAATTAAATGAAGATCCTTTAAGAGACAAAGTTGTTTCTTGATGATTAGACATAAAGTTTATTCATTGATTCACCACTATGTGTTCAAGTAACTTTTGAACAAAGAAATTTGGTGACTACCGTCAAGTGGGATTGTCCCTTTGTAATCTTTCACAAGGGGATAGTCCCTTTAAAATGAATTTTGTGAATGATGTGAACGTGAGAAAGTGGTTCGAAGATCCAATTGATGTGTGGACAAAGAAAAAAAGTAAGAGTATCCGTCCAATTGCTGAAAAAATAAAGATCATAGGTTCTTGTGCACCCCTCCTTATATGGGTCATGGTAGGTGAGGTGAGGTGAGGCTGAAAAAAATATACGAATAATGTCATTGACCTCACCTACCACCCATCACGACCAATATCATCCTTCATATCAGGCTCTTGAGCACCCTCCTCAATTTTGGTGCACCCAAAGTGGACCGCAGATCCCAACACGATTTTAATTCACACCACCCAGGTCAAAGTGAACTGCACGGAGTCCTAATACATTATCATGTTGAATTACCAAAATGCCCAAAGCCGACAGCAGAGTAAAAACACTTCAAAAAGTTCCGTTGCCGGGACTTGAACCCGGGTCTCTCGGGTGAGAGCCGAGTATCCTAACCACCTAGACTACAACGGAATGTTGTTGAACGTGAGGCAGAAATCTATAAATATGTGGAAGGCTCACGCACCATCAAGTAAAACAATGTTAAGATCAATATTAAGATTTTTAAAGTTTCTAGTCATAAGCTTGTTGATCTCTTATAATTATAATATATATATATATATATCCACACACATAAACATATACATATTTTAAAAAAAATTCTTTGTTTAGTTATTTCTTCTAATGAGTTGTCTTCTCCTAAATATTATTAGAACCACATCTCGTTTCAATTACGGCAAACTGATCAACCACAACGCCATTCCATTTCATTATCATTGATAACCACGTGCTTCCATTATTAACAGGAATGGAAATTGAAAGAAGAATAAATAGAATTGGACTCCTATCTTTTGCCATTGTTATGTCATTCAATTCCACAATCCCCAAAAACCTGGAATAGAGACCAAGCATTCATGCTCACGACTTACCTTAAGGGTCAGTTAAAATTCTTGGCAACAACAGCTCATGCTTGTAAAAGTCTTAAAAGAGCCATTCATTTACTTTCACCAACAATCTTCAACATAGTACAATGCAACATAGAAATAGTCCCATGTAAAAAAACTCAAAAACAAGCAACTGTTTGAAGCAAAATGGTCAGTTTTTAACATTACCCAACTCGTCAAAGTTAATATCAGAAATGACATTAAGAGAGTGCCTCATATTATTGAATAGTTGAACTGACAAAAATTGCTATTGCAAATAAGAAAAAAAAACAGCCAAGGCTCAAAGATAGACAATTTTGAAACTTTATTGACTTTAAATTGGGAATTCATTCCCGATTCCAGAACAAAAAAGAAACATTCTCTTATCAAGATTGGGACATTGCAGAATCGTCAATTGGATGCCAAAATCGGTTGAAAAACCACATGGAATCAGCTGTCACAGCATATCCATCTTGATTGCGATGCCAACTATAGTAAGCATGAGTCCGGTTTTTTATATCAAAAATGGCATGACCAAAACTGGCCTCACGGAAAGCTGAGTATTTTGGCTGTGGCTCCGTCATGCTGCACACAGTAGAAAACATTTGATTTACTTGTGTCAGAGAACCGGAGGCAGTTGTATTTTAAGAAGGCCAAAACTATATTATTAGTTAATCTTACTTGGTTGCCAAGCCTTCAACATTTCCCCCATCACCAATGGTAATGTAAACGGGGGCAGATTGATCACTTACAGGACTACAAATGCCATTTACAACGTTGAAAGCAATATTGGATACACGGTGCTGTGACATACATGTACACATTAGTATACAAATATGGCACTATAATAACAACTTGTGCTTTGAAGCATAATAAAATAGAAGACAAAGTGCACTTACCGACCGTTCATATGCGTGAACATGACCAGCAAACACAACATCGACTTTGTATTTTACAAACCACGGTTCATACATAACTCTCATGGTTTCCCCTTCCATGTAATGATGGTTGTTGCTGTTATACCATGGGGAATGCATTAAAACGATCAGCCATGGTGTCTCGCCCCTGTTTACTTTTGGGAGCTCCTCCTCGAGCCATGTGTATTGAGGAGTGTATTTGCCTAAAATACAAATAGATTAAAAAAAAAAAAATCAATGAATGTATATAGAATTTAATGTTGACTAGAAGATTATACCATTTTCCTTCCTATTTGCTTTCCTTTATTCTACTAGGCATATTATTTGTCATTACTTGAAAGAAGAATACAGAGCACAAAAGGCTTTTGCTTTTTCTATAAAGGGTAAAAGAAATATTGGGAATCATACTTTTGAAAGAAGAATACAGATCACAAAAGGATTTTACTTTTTTCTATAAAAAAAAAAAAAAAAAAAAATTTGGAATGTTACTTTTTAACATTTATTTTAGAGGGGAAAAGAAAACAGAATGTCTATTTCAGAGTGACTGACTCTCGTTCCACAAGAGTCTATTTTAGAAACCAAGTTTGTTTTGAAATGAAAGGAAAGATGCATTTCAAAAAGCAAAAATGCCTCAATCATCATTGCTAATTAAAGATATTGAAAATAATATGAATTTTGTTTTATTGAGTTTATACAATTTTGAGTCAAAGCACATTTATGCATTGGATATTTAAACCACAAACTAATAAGGTTTTAGACTGATAATTTATGCATGCATAGGTTCCACTGCAGATATGCCAGTGTCTGGAGACATGATTAATGACAATGAAATAATGCAAATGCCAATATATACTTACCATATGCCGAATATGAAGACAAGACAATGATGTATGCTGAAGCCCTCTTGATCGAGTACCAAAAGGGAGCGGTACTGTTTGATGCTTTATAAGGTACATGATACCTCTTAGTATAAGGCTTAAAGGGTTTTTTTTCACCCTGCAACAAAATCACCATTCTACGGTCACAACATTTTTTTGAGAAACATTTCAAGGGTTAGCAAATAAACATATAAGGTTTGAATTATAAATTGCAAAGCACCATCTTGGTAGCAAGTAGTAAATCCAGAGTCAATATTTCACCCAACAAAATTATTAGAACTTAATTCACAAAGCATTGACCACTTACGCTCCCTTGGGTTGCAAAGGAGGAGATCAATTTCGTGATTGGGAGCATGGAAATTGTCGCAGCAACAAAGGGGATCGTGATTGTACAATGAAAGCACATAGAGAATAAAATTTATCAAAGTTAATTACTTGTTATCAAGAAAAGTAATAAAATTGATATAGTAATACAGATTTTTATCTTGCTAAGCAAGTTGAAATAGCTTTACTTTGTTAAGGGATTGGGAGATAAGACTAGGTAACACACATAAGAACTTCTAAGGAGCTAAAATTCACTCCATGAAGGAAGAGTCAATTATAATACTACGATACAGAAGTTAAGAAGAACCATGAAATCACGCACTAGACAATAAGAAATAAGAATCATTGAGAATGTTGCTCTTCATTAGAGCAGTAAAACATGTTATGGGAATCTTACAATTTCAGGGACAAAATTGAGCTCATGATTTCCTGCAGTCCATATCCAAGGTTGATAGGCAACACTTCTCTCCACAAACCGTCCCCATGTATCCCACCTAACATTATCATGATTCGGATAGCGATCTGCGTAAGAGAGGTCCCCGACGTACAGTACTGTTTTCCCTTTAGTTGGATTTAATTCATAATGAGCAAGTGTCCTGTTTGAATCATAAGTTTGACCAAGATCCCCTGCAAGAAATGACTGATAAGTGTTAAGACAGGATAAATATAAAACATATTAAATACAAATTAGCGCATTTTTTAGTCGGAATTGTTGAAATAAAAATTAGGACTTAATTCCAGATTACTTCTCCACCCCAAATGATAAGCTCATGAAATTAATCAGCTAGAAGTTTTGTCAAAAATACTCATTTATTAAAGTAAATAGAATGTTAAAAATTTCTACTCAGAAGGAAATTCTATCCTCGGTAATTGATACATATTCATCCATGCAGTCAAGTGTCTGTGGAAAAAGCCTGACAGAATTGGAAGCTGATGTTTTTTTTCCTAGCAGGACAGAAGACCATTGAACCACAAACCGAATATGAAAAAGCACACTTAATTATTCAAAAAAAAAAAAATCCATTAAAATTGATATGATGCAGAACACTTTACCTATGAGACCAAATGTATATGGAACATCCGGACCAACCTCAGGAGGAGTTGTAAACCAGAAAGTTCGCACTGTATGTCCACTCCCAACTTCATAGTAATATTTGGTGTTATACTGCCAACAAAACCGATAATCGAATTAGCTTTAATCTTGATTAATTCCTCAATTCTGTCAAAAGTCTTCCCTAACTCCCAACTTATATCTCACATATACAAACTATGAATGAAAATGTAACCAACAAATAACAGGGGAATCATAATAAAGCAATGCCTATGAAACAAGGACACAAAAGGGTTGAATAGCTCACCTTCAAGTTCTTAATAGTACAGTGATGAATGTATCCAGAAGTATAAGTGTAGAATTTGTAGGTAACAAATTTGCCCTTTGCCATTTTCTTGTGATTGGTATTTTCTCTCCAGTACACAACTGTACTTGGCCCAGGTTCTTCCATAGTGACCCATGACACAATAACCCCCTTTCCCAGAAGATCTCCTTGGGTTATATGAACCTAGTAGTTACAGATAGCCCACCAGTCAAAATACACCAAACAATAAAATAAAAACAAAAATATATGAATAAGAACACACCCATTAAATTTGAGAGCATCAAAATTACATATTTGTAACTAAATTAATAAATTAAACTTTGATTGGTGACAAAGAGAGGAGTGCAGAGTGCCATACCTGTTGAGGCGCATTATAGCCGGGAGGCACTTTGAAGACATCACTATCAAGCTGCATATCTACAGATTTCTCAACTTTCCTCACAAAAGTGCTTGTGATTCCTCCATTACACAACACTGCTGCGTTCAACGCCAAACCCAGAACAGCAAGAACAGACCATGAAAATCCCAGCTCGCCCATGTTATCCTGCGCACCCCCTTACCCCGCTTAACCTACGCACACCCTATCTCGTTCACCAATCTCACATTCCCCCCCCCCCACACACACACACAAACACACACACATATATACACGAATAGTAGTAATATTTTCCTACAAATAAGAGGAATATTCAACGCTCTATATGGACTAACAGCAAGCAGGATTGAGTTTCTACATATGATTGAGAAACCCCCTTGAAAAAAATACTCCGTATATAAATAAGGAATAAAATAAAAAGAATAAAATAAAAATTGACTTGAGAGAAAGCAATCAAGTCGAGACAGAAATCGAATAGTTTGACTCGAACAAGGCGAAAAAGAAGCGGATAAAATTAGACAATGATGAGCTTTCCGAATGAATGAACGAACGAACGAACTACCTTATTCTTTTATGTCTAAGCCCACAATTTCATATTTTAGTTATTATAATAAAGGAACTTATTAAAATGAAGGTAATAATACTTCTACCGATTTGTTGTATTAAATATTTTTGATTGGTTATTTATACATAATACATGTATCTACTAAAATTGACCGATTTATTCCTTCTAATTGGTTTATTTATACATAAATAGGGAAATGGGACCCTTCATTTACATATATTATACATAAATAATTAATAAAAAACATTCGATATAATAATTCGGTACAACAAATCGATACAAGAATCATTACTCTTAAAATAATAATCAAACTTTTAAAGATCTGTTTTTTTTTTTTTTTTTTTTCATAAATGAAGATCTGTTTTAATATATATATATATTATTTGATAAATAAAAAATATAGTATATCACACACACTTCTACCTTTAGATTTCTCAAGTTTGAGAAAATATGTTTCACCCTGAGTCCGAAAATTATTTTAGAAAGAATAATCATTAACAATAATATGATAAAAAAATTTTGAACGAAAATAATAACTAACAAAACAGAGTTTTTTAAATTTTAATTCTTAAAAATTTTATGGACTCCCTGGAGGAGAAAAGACGTAGATCTTTTCTGAATTTTTAACGTTTTAGTAGCCTTTGGTGGTAAGTTCTATTTAATATTTGAGCTTTTTTATTTTCTTTTATTCTTTACTTTTTAAAGAGCTTAAACAAGTCCATGCTCAACAGAGGGTTGAATCATGTGTTGTTTTTTTTTTTTTTTTTCATTGAAAAATCTTTAGAGTTGTTGACATTAATTTACGCAAAGGTTAAAAAACTTTTTCATAAGAAACTACAGAGTCTTACCTGATTGTCTGGTTCATTTTCTAACGACATGGAATAAGATTAAACAACCTATATAGTTTTAGTTCTTTTGATCCATTCAATTTTTACTTTTTTATATGAATTTAATCATAACAATTAAACATGTGGATCTCAAATCTCAATATAACATAAGATCCTACCTTAATATAAGTTGATTCATTGATGAATAACACTGTGATCAAATAATTAAAAAAAAGACTTTTAAGACTACTAGGTTTAAAGTATCTATCAAGTAAGATTTTGACATTCAATCTTTAAAATGAATGTGCGGATGAGTTTTGTGAATGATGTGAAGTTGAGAAAGTGGTTTGAAGATCCGATATTGATGTGTGGACAGAGAAAAAGTAGAGTATGCCATTGCTGAAAAAAAGATAAGTAATAGCTTGAAAAAGATGACAAGTTGGGAAAAGTGATTGTGTACTGAAGCGAGTCCAACACATTGACCAATATCATCCTTTAACCATACAAATTGCAGGGTACTATACCTATTTATTGTCCCATCCCCAACTCAATAATTCACATTGGCCATCCATATGAATAGTTTTTTTTTTTTTTTTTTTTAGGGAATGGAATGGTAAAACAAATACACTCATTTGTTCACGCTCTAATTGAATCTTGTCGCAATGTAACGAATTCAGACGAATATCGGTATAAATCAATTATGCTATCAAATCTTTAAAAAAAGGGTACGAATTGATCGATACGACAAATTATAAATTCGATTGCTAGGTACTATACCTATTTATTGTCCCATCCCCAACTCAATAATTCATATTGGCCATCCATATGAATAGTTCTCTTTTTTAATTTTAATTTTAATTTTTAATTTTTATTTTTTTTAGGGAATGGAATGGTAAAACAAATACACTCATTTGTTCTCTAATTGAATCTTGTCACAATATAACGAATTCAGACGAATATTGGTATAAATCAATCATGCTATCAGATCTTTAAAAAAAGGGTACGAATTGATCCATACGGCAAATCATAAATTCAAATCTCTTTCCTCCTCTTTGAAAATAAGAAGGTTATATCTTAGGCAAAATAGCCCTTTGATATCCATATGAATAGGTTGATGACATTTATGTGTGATAAATGAATTTTAATAATGCCATTTAATTGTTGAATCATAATCCTTCACATAAGGGCATTTTAAGTATTTCAATTTAATTGTTGAATTTATAAGCCTTCTCAATAAGGGCATTTTAAGTATTTCAGTCTTTAAATTGAAGAATGTTTTTTTTAGCACCACGAGTGTGCATGGTTTTTTTTTTTTCACTTTGCCTTTTATTTAATTCAGTTTTCTTAAAAAAATTCAAGATAAAAAACTGAATACAGATAATTTTTAATAGAATTAGAAAATATTACTTAGTGTTTAGTAAACAAATTTTTGTATGTCTTATTCTCAATCATGTTCTTAAAATGCTGGATCAAACAAACTTGGTATATTAAAGCTATTCTGTCAAGTGTCAACTAAAATTGACAAAACACAGCTAACTTTTTCGCAAGAAGTTAATGAAAGAGAAATAATTCATAACCTTCACAAATAAAACAAAGTGCAAGATTAGTAAACGTGATAGGATCATACCCTTCCAAATAATATGATGGACCCAAAGTGCAAGATTAGTATATGAGGCACAAAAATGAATGATAAACGCATAGAGTAGAACTTAATAACAAATTTTCTCTCACACGAATCGGTACAAATATTTAGAATGCGTAATCAACAAGAATTGAAAAAAAAAGCTAAACGTGTTTGTATCACATTTTGCAGAAATTTTTCAGCCAACTTACTAAACAGAGAAAAAAAATATTTCAATTATGTTAGGCATTTTTTTCTTTTACTTATATATGGTATCAATAAATTGCGTGACTCAAAGTCTCCACATACCAAATTCAATTTCACATGCGTGATCATAAAGATAATGACAATAATACCCAAAAAAGAAAAAGAAAAAGGACAAGGACAATTTTGCATAGCTATTGAACCAGAGAACTCCCAATTTCAAGCCCTAGTTGGAGACAAGGACACTAAAGAGCAGACCCAATTAGTTGACTTGGGTTTTACCCGAGACACCAAATTTTATGGGTCTGACTTATGTGGATGGGCAAATTATGGATATCGGTGGCAATTAGGCTAACTACCAAGCCTAAACACCAGCCATAACCAAATAATTTTCATGAGGGGCTGTTTTAGTGGATATGGATAACAGTCCTTTGATAAATGACAAACTCAATTAATAGAGTTCACTTTTGTGTTTTTGGTAGTTGGAATTTCATGAAATTTGAATTTTGTAAATGAATTTTTATTATCTGAAATTTATTTAATTTAAAATCTGATTGAAATTTGGAAGTAAAATTTATAATGCATTCAATTCCTAATGTTCTTTTTGACAAGAAGGAATGAAAAGGAGTGGAAGGAAGATCAGGAGGATTAAAAAATAATTCATTTCATTGGTAAAGACTAAAAAGGAGGCATGGAGAGAAGAGCAAAACCAGATAGATGAGTCCTTTTCCCTTCACAAATTTTTTCTTTCTAAATATGGATGGAAGACATGAAAGTGAATTATATGGAATGATATTATAAAAGTTTTTGAGTTATAAAGTTTATATCATTTAGATTGGGCGCTTGTAGAATCGTCAACTGGATGCCAATATCGGTTGAAAAACCACAAGGAATCAGCTTTTACAGCATATCCATCTTGATTGCGATGCCAACTAAAGTAAGAATGAGTTCGGTTTTTAATATCAAAAATGGCATGACCGAAACTAGCCTCACGGAAAGCTGAGTATTTTGGCTGTGGCTCCGTCATGCTGCACAGTAGAACGCGTTTGATTTACTTGTGTCAAACAACAGGAACTAATTGTTTCAAGGAAAGGCCAAAACTATAATACAAGTTAAATCTTACTTGGTTGCCAAGCCTTCAAGATTTCCACCATCACCAATGGTAATGTACACGGGCGCAGATTGATCACTTACAGGACTACAAATGCCATTTACAACGTTGTAAGCAATGTTGGATACACGTTCCTGTGACAAATTTACATTAGTACGCAGAAATAGCACTATAATATCAACTTGTGCTTTGAAGCATAATAAAGAGAAGAAAAAGTGTACTTACCGATCGTTCATATGCGTGAACATGACCGGCAAACACAATGTCTACTTTGTATTGTACAAACCATGGCTCACACATAACTCTCATGGTTTCCCCTTCCATGTAATGATAGTTGTAGCTGTTGTACCATGGGGAATGCATTAAAACAATCAACCATGGTGTCTCACTCCTGTTTACTTTTGGGAACTCCTTCTCAAGCCATTTGTATTGAGGAGTGTATTTGCCTAAAATTCAAGTATATAGAGAAAAAAATCATGAAATGTATATAATGTTGACTAGAAGATCATAGCATTTTCCTTCCAATTTCCTTTTCTTTATTCTACCAGGCGTATTATCTGTCATTACTTGAAAGAAGAATACATATCATGAAAGGCTTTTACATTTTTTTTTTATAAAGAGGAGGGGGGAAGAACTCAGAGCAAAAGAAAAGTGAATTAATCTAATATCTATTTTAGAGACAAAGTGCAAAAAAAAAAAAAAAAAAGAAAAAGGAAAGATGCATTACCGAAAAGCAAAGAGTACCTCAATCATCATGCTAATTAAAATTGTCAAAAAAAAAACATGAATTTGTTTAGTGAGTTTCTATGATTTTTGAGTCAGCACACATTCACACAGTGGATATTTAAGCACTAATAAGGTTTTAGACTGATAATCTATTTAGGCATAAGTTCCACGGTACATATGCATGTGTCTGGGGTCATTATTCATGACAATGAAATATTGCAAATGCCTATAGACTTACCGTATGCCGAATAAGAAGACAAGACAATTATGTATGCTGAAGCCCTCTTGATTGAGTACCAAAAGGGAGCCGTGCTGTTTGATGCTTTATAAGGTACATGATACCTGTGAGTATAGGGCTTGGAGGGTTCAGTTTCACCCTGCAATAAAATCACCACTATTCTGTCACAACTTCATTTTTTTTTTTAGCACTAAACATTTACACTCCCTTTGCAAAGGAGGAGATCAATTTTGTGATCAGGAGCTTGGAAATTGCCACAGCAACCAAGAGGATCATGATTGTACAATAAAAGCACATGGTGAACAAAATTTGTCAAAGTTAGGAAGTTAATTACTTAGTAAATGGATTGGGGGATTAGACTTGGTAATACACATAAGAACTTCCAAGGAGCTACAATTTACTCCATGAGGGAAGAGACAATTATACTACTACCATCAGAAGTTAAGAAGAACCATGAAATCACACTTTAAAAACAGTGAGAAATATAAAATATTGGAATATTACTCTTCATCAGACCAATAAAACATGTCATGGGAAGCTTACAATTTCAGGGTCAAAATCAATCTCGTGATTTCCTGCAGTCCATATCCAAGATTGATAGGCAGCACTTCTCTCCAAAAACCGTCCCCATGTATCCCACCTAACATTATCATGATTCGGATAGTTATCCGCGTAAGAGAGGTCCCCAACAAAGAGCACTGTTTTCCCTTTAGTTGGATTTAATTCATAATGAGTAAGTGTCTTGTTTGAATCATAACTTTGACCAAGATCCCCTGCAAAAAAATGATTGATAGAATCAAGACAGGATAAATGCAAAACACATCACACACAACGGCACAGCTTCTTATGGGAAGACGGGTAGCAAAATGTGTGCATTTTTTTATTTATAGAATTGTTGAAATTAAAATTAGGACTTAATTCCAGATTCCCTCCTCACCCCAAATGACAAGCTCACAAAGTTAATCAGCAAGTAGTTTTGTCAAAAATACACATTTATCAAAATGCGCCGAAGCTCATTTCTAGTTAGACTTACCGTACGCCGAATAAGAAGACATTATTCATGACAATGAAATATTGCAAATGCCTATAGACTTACCGTACGCCGAATAAGAAGACAAGACAATTATGTATGCTGAAGCCCTCTTCACCCCAAATGACAAGCTCACAAAGTTAAATCAGCCAAAAGTAAACATTTATCAAAATACATCTGACGTAGCTCATTTCTAGTTCAAAAATTTATCTCAGAAGGAAATTATATCCTCAGTCCAGCCCATTAGATTGATACATATTCCCCCATCCAGTCAAGAATCTGTGGAAAAGCCTGACAGAATTGGAACCTGAAGTTTTTCTAGCAGGACAGAAGACCATTGAACCATAAACCGAATATGAAAAGCACGCTATGTTTGTTAGTAAGACATACAAATTCCATTAAATTTATATGATACATAATACTTTACCTATGAGACCAAATGTATACGGGACATCCGGGACAACTTCAGGTGGAGTTGTAAACCAGAAAGTTCCTTTTATAAGCAGAGAAGGAACATGGGGAATTAAAATAAAGCAATACCCCTCCAGTGTTCCTTTTAAGTAAAGTTGGTCACTTTCTGGTGTTGGTACATGGTATAATTTGGGGTATATATTGTTGTTATCTAGTACACTCTTATGCGAATGTTAATTAGCTCTCTTTAATTGTTTTTTGGTTTTTCGGAAAGTCGTCGATATATTAGTAATGTGACAATTGTAGGTGTATGTATTATGAATTAATTTTAAAATTTTCTGGATACTTGGTGGCACTTCTACATGAATTCTTTGTTCAATACTGTCATGATAAATGGAATCAAGTTACACATATATGGTTGAGAAGCTGTCATAAAAAAGTTGTAAAACTTCAACAATTCATTGCCTTCCTGATAATGGAATCTCTGATAAATAGTGGCAGATGGTACATGATCGCCATTATGGTGGAGTAACGGGCAACGTGAACCAAGACGGTGGATTCTTTTTCAGCGCAGCACTTGTCTTCTTCGCGAACTCTTGGGAAGGGGAGGCATTTGAGCCTTGTGAGACGTATGCAGTATCTCGGATTGCTGTTGCCGGCCCCTAGGCTTCACGTGCAAGTGGATGCGTAAAGCAGCAGCAATGATAATGCTGTTGCTGATTTATGGCAAGACCCGGTGCAAGAGGATATAATTTTTATCTTCTCCAGAATACAAATTAGTCGTGCTCACTTCATGTTCACCCCTAATCTAATTCACCTAGGATATATTTGTACTAATTTTTATCTTCTCCAGAATACAAATTGTTTTTATCTTGTCCAGAATACAAATTATTTATATATCTATAAATTGTTTTTGACAAAAAAAGAGCAAATAAAAGAGAGACAAAACCCACAAGTGTTACTTCATATACGCCGCCTTTTCTTCTCTGGTGTTGCACATACCTGTTGTTTGATCCCATCATATATCTTCAACTGAAAATTATCGAAAGCCTCAGAAACAGCTCCTACCTGTGATGATGAAATGAATCACTCTGTAACAAGCTAAATTTATATTATTTTTATTTTTATTTTTTTCAAACAGTAAAACAATTAATAGATATATAAATAATTTAGAGGAAAAGCCCAACAAACTTGTCTTTCCAAATGAAGCTTAAGATCATAGACCAAGCCCTGTCCAACGTGAAGCTTAAGAAAACATACCAAGCCCAAACAGTCGGGCCCAATATAAACATAAAGGGTTTAAACTTTAAGATAGTGTGGTAATAACGACTACAATTCGTCGGCTTGTTGCAAAAACATCAAGCATTGCCCACCAACAATCTTTTCTTTTCTAAACCTAGAAATTGCTTAAATTATTTTCTCTTCTTTTTTTGTAATAATGAATAAGAAATTGTATTACTCCGTATTAATTAAAATGTCAAAAGACCCCAAACTCCATGGTCCTTCCAAAAAAAAATTCAAAAATCTCATATGAAATCTACATAACAGTGTCATTTTTGAAACTTGGCATATATCTATAATGTAGTGGCTAAGTTGTAGTGAAAGGGTTGTGAAATTACTCTAATGTTATGTTTGGCGGCACTAGCAGCACATTGGATTTGTACTAAATTTTTTTCAATTTTAAATTCAAGACGCTGATTCAGTGCTCCAAAATATATATAACATTAACAATTTGATAACTCACATGAAATCCGAAGACCAATGTCCAATCATTGTAGAATGAGAAAGTATCATTAGGCTACAATTTTTGGTGATATGTTATGAGTCATTTCAGTTCTCTTGATATTTTTATTCTCCCAAATTAACTCTATAGGCCTTTAAATTTTAGAGGTTAAGTTTTGGTATTTCAAAAAGACAAAACATTTAATGAATGTTTTCATTGAGGGAATAGTAACTAATGACGAATGCTTTCAAGAAAATTCTCTCACTATGAACTCTTTATTTTAACAAATGAATTAAAAGATGTATTAAAATTTTAATTTTAATTTTTTCAAATATTACAAAATTATTTCAATTTAGTTATTAAATATGTAAAACTCACAACTCCTTTCACCAGAAAGCTCTCAGGATACTTGTGAGCATTACTCGTAATAATTATAATGCTAAGGACTACAAGGTTTGGCCGTGACTCTTGAGGAGTTCAACTGGAGACTAGTTTAGGAGGTAACATTAATAAGGCATAAGCATCACATGACTTACATTGGTTTATTTTGAAGAGTTGCTGCTGCAACCAAACATATCCTAACCATCGAAAACACCAAAACAAGTTGCAGAATTCTCATGCTTTTTCCAGAAACTCGGATACAAAGGTATTACCTATAAATAATATTTTCTATATTGTTTTATGCTTAGATGTTTTGATCTAGAGCTGAATTAATTCCATGTCCTTTCTGAAATGGAATCTTAATTTGATATATTTATCTTCCTATATATGTAATAGAAAGACATTATATTGGTCATATACCTTGCTTCTTATTCTGTTCAAGGATGGGTGATTTCGTGGACTTCATGATCCATGAATAAATGAATTCTATAAAATAGAACAAAAGTCGTAGTTTTTGGAAGAGTTATTGACGATTATTCAAATTTAGCATTTAATCATTTCTGTTTTTTTATTTAGATAGAATTAAGCAAATAACACACACACACACATAGATAATTACTCTTACTAAGAGGAACCAAGGCAAGATGATAACAAAGAGGGTCAACTGCTTACACACGACCAAGGCAAGATGATAACAAAGAGGGTCAACTGCTTACACACCTATATATGTATATAAGGTCCATTAATATTCTCTGCTCCTCTCTGCACCTAATATATACCTGTTCGCGCGGTTTTTGTTCCCTACGCCGGTCGATGGACTCTTCGCGGGCGTGCCAGAGTATTTGTACAAAATACCCAAAATATGTAATTGAACACCAACCTATCCCTTTTTCCGATGGCTGACTCTCAGGCGATTGTGTGGGAGAGAGACTAGTAAGAACTCCCAGTAAGGTTCTTTTATGCCTTGTTTGTAGCAAGGACTTTTTAGAGTGTCTAAAGAAATGCAACGGCTGATGAATGTTTGAATGGATGGAATGGCCGAGTGAAGACAGGCGGCAAGAACTTAATCGATTGCCGGCCGAAAGTGATGGCGAGAACTTAATCAATCGCCATCAGCCAAACACAATGGCAAGAATTTAATCGATCGCCACTGAAACGTGATAGCAAGAATTTAATCAATTGCCATTAACCAAGTAATGATAAGAATTTAATCAATTGTCACTACGATTCAATGGCAAGAATTTAATCAATTGCCATTGAATTAAAAGCCTAACTAAAATTGCGTAATTTAAATTGGCATAATTGAAATTGAAAGAAAGTAAATGGCTGAATTAAAATAGTTGACAATGATCTAATCAATTACCATTAAATTGAAATAAAGAAACTGATAGGAAAAAATGACGTAGAGTCAATTGAAAACATTTTTAGTTGAAATGCATGTTTTGTGGTGGTGCTGGACAAGTTAGAAATGGAATACAATACTTCTATTTATAGAAGTTCTATCTCAACTTATTTTCCTAAGTTATTGCTAGAAAATCTCTCCTTCTTTGATTCTTTTTCTTCACAATTTGAACTCAGTCAAATCCTATTGTTATTCTGCTTCCTTTCTTGTTTTGTTTCAGTAGGAAATCTCTGTAAAAACAACCTTCCTCGATTTAATCACATGTAAGTTGCCGAGATATTGCTAAAACGTTGCTAGAAAGTTGCTGAAAAGTTGCTAATTTTTAGCAACTCCCCTCCTTAAGTTTAGCAGCCGTGTTCTATCCCAAGTGGCCCATCCTTTAGCGCCATGTCTTCAAAGCTTTCCTTCTTTCATCAAACTAAACTTCCTATTTTATAGGAATTTAGTTATTGAGTTTCATCCAAACTCTAGCCTTTTCCTTTTCTGTTAACATCCCATTTTGAAAAAAGTCAAATGTGAGTTGCTATATTTCAGCAACTGCCATATCATTAGGTGGCTGAAATATATCTTTCTATATTTGCTCCTAATATCTTCAAACTGGCCGATCCATTCTTGGACATGCTCAACCCTTATCGGCTTCCCATTGGTCCACGTTGCTGCTGAAGTGGCTGCCAAGTTTTGGTGCCAACAAATGCCCCCTGAATTTCAAAGGCTTTTATCACTTATGATACGAAGCGTTTGGAATTTGAATCGGCCTAAAATTGTAATTCAAATTTTAGTAATAAATCCTTTTCCCAACCACCTGCTTTAATGGTTATCTTTCCCAATTAAAACGGCGACTACACTAATCCGCTATTACATCCAACAAGTATTTAGCTTGATGTCCTCTAATCCCTAAAATCATTCTTCTTCCCTTAAACTTTCTATCTCTGAAACTTCTTTCTCGGCAAAATCATTCCTGAAGTCTTCTATGGCTCCTAAGAAAACTAAATCAACTGATTCCACCTCTATCCCTCAACCTTCCGATCCTTCAACCCATGGCAACATCATAGAAAAATCCCTAAAAACTCTATCTCCTTACAAATACTGTCTCAATACCCTTATCGATCTTCGTACTGACTTCAAAGGCTTAGGTCCTGCTTTCCTTGACGAAGCTCCTTCATCAATCTCAACTTTCTATCCTTCGGCCGACGTTCTTCCATTCCTTCAAACCTTCCCTCCTAATGAAAATGGCAGTTTGCCACACTTTCATTTTAGAACATGGCATATTCCAAATGATGCTTGGATCAATTGGGTCGACCGGGTTGGAGCTGTAAAGGGAGAAGTATGGAAGGATTGTGGCATATATGATGCCATTCAGCTAAGTAAAACTAACATCGCCCAAGACAGGGCCTTGATGATAGCAGCCATGTTTAATTGGTCGACCACCACCAACTCCTTACACTTGAAGTGTGGCATGATGGCTCCAACCATTCAAGACGTGTGCTATCTAACCGGCCTCAAAACCTTTGGGATTGATGTAAGTACCTTATTGGTAGAAGAGGATTCTCCTTTCATCTTCCCTTCAAAGCAAACTGGAACCAAGTCATCTGAATCCTCTTATGGCAAATACTTAACTTCCACCATGGATCCTCGCGTCCCTGTGAATGATGCTGAGCATATTGCCTTCTTGTTGGCGTGGCTGAACAAGTTTCTTCTATGCGTACCGGCCTTTCAAGTCACAAAGGATTTCATTCATGTGGCCGTTGCTCTTTCAAGAGGTAAACACCTTGCTCTTGCCCCCTTGGTGCTTTCTCATTTATATAGAGGGATTTATGACTTGCTTACCTCCAACTTCGGACGCTATGGTGGTCCCCTCTGGTTATTTCAAATTTGGCTTCAAGTGTACTTTCCTGAACTCGGACCTGTGGTAAGGCCTTCGGCCAATGACCCATTACTTTCTGTAAGTTACGCATCAGCCGTACCTAAATCCCATTCGTTTGGAGATTGCTTCAATTTCTTTTACTCCGGTTGTGAACAGAGGACTATCAGCCAATTTCTTCCATTTTCTCATTGCTCACAAGCTCCTCGATGGCTGACTCCTCCTCAAGGAGTGTCTACCAAAAAATCAGCTGATAAGCATTCGGCCATGTGAGCTAGTTTCTTACTTCCAAGAGACCTTCACTTCAACACTGGCCCTCTAGGCACAGTAAACTCAAAAGTTGGAGTTGAGTTCTACAATCCAAACCAACTTGCTAGGCAATTTGGTCTGACTCAAATGATCCCCATGCCCCCTTATTTCTCTTTCAACAAAAACTTCCATAGGCGTGTGGTATTTCCAGATGACTCCTATGTAAAGAACGTGTCCTCCCAGTTCTCAAATCTGCAAGCCGGGTTCCAATTCCAACCCTTCATCAAAAACCCAGCCTCAGATTCTAGTTTTGATCAATGGTGGTCTTCTTACATTACTTCTACAAGGACGGCTGACAGCCAGTCCCTTGTTGTTAAAATATTGGAATCTTTCAAGTTTATATCTGTGGCCTTTGAAGGGGCATTCGTAATTTCCCGGGCCGTTACCCCAAAAAAGATGCCTCAAAAAGATCCTCCCAAAGATAAAAAACAAACGGCCAAGAAACTCCCTTTCTCTCAGCCAACAGATGCTCCAACAAGGACCAATAAAGAGAGAAAAGCCAAGGCCAAAGCCACTGTCAGCCTCCTCAAGGGTACAATCTTCCTTTACTTGCATATATATATATATATATATATATATAAACTTTTAATTGAATTTCTCTTACCCCCTTTTTTTTTTTTTTTTTTTTTTTTTTTTTTTTTTTTTTGCAGATTCAGACAGTGGAACTTTATCAGCCTCGCCTAATCTAGAAAACGTTGAGCCCCAAGATGATGAAATTTCCTCAAGCCAACTTCCTCAGCCTACAACAACTGAATCAATCATCATCCCTAATGTTCCTCCAGTTCCTCCAAAGGTAAAAGTTTTTATCTATTAACATACGAAAACAATCATATCGGCCCAATTATTAAAATTCTTGGCCGATATTGACTTCTAATTCTCGGCCACAACTATTATTGGCCGAAACAAACTTTAATAAAGCTTCCATCTCCAGGGGAAAAGAAAGAAATCAACTGCTCATGGTACTTTAAAAAGAACAAGATTGAGCAAACGTAAGAAACAAGAAGTGGGAGAAAATCTAGAAAGCCTTCATCCTACAGAAGACGTGGCCGATGACCCCGTAATTAATGTGACTGACACTCCTTCTGATCATTCCTCAGATGAAAAAGAGGTAAAGATAACTGTACTTGAAATTTCCAAACTTTTCAATTAATATGGTCCTTAATTTCTTCTCTTTTACAACAATCTCCTCTTCTTGACTTAGTCTATAGCCCAGTTAGAAATTTCAGCCCTCTGAAGGATTTTCATGATCCCATTGAGGTGCCCTTCAATGTTCAAGTCACTCCTGCTAAAACTTCATCCCAGGGAGATAGCACAGCGGTTCAGCCAGAATTTCCTCCTCCAGAAACCAGTCATCAGCCACTCTTAGTGACAGACATAGCCGAATCATCTAAGGTATTGACTATCTCATGTCCCCAAAAAAAAAAAAAAAACTTAAGATCTAATCTTTCCTCATTTTGTCAGGTTGTGTATGAGAAAACTCAAATTATTCCTTTACTTCCTCCACAAAAAGTTCCTGCTTCATCCCTATTGGCTTTGAGCAATTTTCTTAAGGATGTGGTGGCTTCAGTGACCGAAGAGAAAGAAAGTGAATCTTCTGGAGCCACCCCAGTCACTTCAACCAATATCCCTATACAATCCTTAGAAGAGACCAAAAAATCTTTACTTGAGATCTTGAAAAGGGATGCTGCTGATCTTCCTAATTTTGAAAGTGAACTCACAGCAGTGCTTTCTACACTCAGCCAGTACCCAGACTTTCCGGTTGATCTTCAAGCCACTATTGCTACCTTTAAAGGCCAGGTACCAACTCTGACCGATGATATTTTCCAAGCCAATGAAGCAATCAACCAATTCAATAAGAGTAAAAACAGGAAGGATACCCTTGCTAACCAATTGTTAATTCAAGCTTCCTCCTTTGAAAGAGTGAATACAGAGTTCATCGGCCTCGAGGAAAGAGAACATGTCCTTCAGAAAGAGATCGACCAGATCCATGCTCGTAAGGCCATCTTGTCTGCTGAAGCTGCCACATTGCAGTTTGAAGCTCAAGACCTTGCTCACGAGCATGCGAATCTTCGTGGAGAATTACCCCAATTGGAAGAGTCAAAGAGGCAGGCCATGGTGGCCTTCAATCGGTCTTTAGTTATTTGGGCCGATTTCAAGGAAAAATTTGCAAACATATGAATTTTTTTATATTAGCTTCCTTTTGTGGCCATCTTAGTGTATGATCTTTAAATGATGTAATCTTTTACACTTCAATGAATAAATGGCCTCTTTTGTTACTCCAAACAAGCATCAACATTTTAGCGAGAAAAATTTATTAAAATAGCCAAATCAGCCTAGAAAAATAGGCCGATTTTTATTACATAAAGGTACACATGGTCAGCCATAAGTACTGGCTAACACTAATTTTCCCTTTCAAAGATTGTCGGTACGTACCTCTTAAGGTACTTGCCATTAATGGGATAGTCATGTAATCGACCACTGAAATACTTCAGCCTATATGCTCCTCCACTTAAGACTTGATGGACCAAGTATGACCCTTCCTATTTTTGGGACCACTTCCCATATTTCCTATCGACTTTACCCACTGGCAAAACAACTTTCCAAACCAAATCTTCTTCAGCAAAAGACTTAGGTTTTACCCTCTTGTTGTAGATCCTCATTACTTTCTTCTTATGAGCTATGATATGATCCAAGGCATCCCTTCTGAATTCATCCAAATCTTCCAATTCTACCAACATTGCTTGAGTATAATCAGCTGGAGTTAGATTATTTTGAAAAGCAACTCTGGCTGATTTAACCTTCATCTCCATAGGCAGAACAGCATCATGACCATAAGTTAACATGTATGGTGTAACTCCTGTGCCTGTTCTTTTTGAGTTCCTATAGGCCCATAAAGCTTCAGACAAAGTCTCATGCCACCTTCTTGGCTTATCTTTGATCATTTTTTCAATGATCTCAATTAGAATTTTGTTTGAAGATTCGGCCTGGCCATTTGCTTGAGCATAGTATGGCGTAGAGGCTGACATATGAATATTCATGTTGTGGCCGAATTGTAGTACATCAGTTGCTCTAAATACTGTTGCATTGTCTGAAATAAGTGTTTCTGGAATCCCAAATCTGTGGATGATGTTTTGTTCCATGAAATTAATCACTGTTTGCTGATCAACCGCTTTGCAAGCCTTGGCCTCGACCCATTTAGTAAAATAATCTGTGGCAACAATCACCCAGTGATGGCCTTCGCTTGATGGTGGATTAATTTTACCAATAAGGTCAAGGCCCCAACCTCTGAATGGCCAAAGTTTGATTATTGGCTGTAATTCTTTTGCTGGTACATTTTGAATCGGCCCGTGTCTTTGACAAGCTTGACAACCTTTTGAGTAATCTATGCAATCTTTTCTCATTCTCGGCCAATAATATCCATACCTGCGAATCAACCATCTCATTTTAATCCCAGCTTGGTGAGCCCCACAGCTGCCCTCATGTACCTCGGCCATAACCTGAAGTGATTCCTCCTTGCTTATGCATTGTAATAAGAGCCCATCTTCTAACCCTTTTCTGTATAGATCCCCATCTAGAAGCACAAAGTTGATCGCTTTTCTTTTAATACTTCTATCAGCCTTGATGTTTGGATTTTGAAGGAACATTATAAATGGTATCCTCCAGTCATCGTCGGCCAAATCTTCTACATCAATTGTCCAAGTATCAAACATAGTATTTCTCAATTCGGCCGATGGCAAAGATCTTCGTGTTATCTTTATCAACTGATCTTCTATTCCGGCTGGTACTCTTATTCCAGAGGCTGCTTGAGCCATGCTGTTGGCCTCCTTATTCTGCCCTCTCAGCCAGAACTTAAGTTGAACATTATCAAATTGATTAATTAATGAAGTGGCCAGAGAATGGAACGGCCTTAATTGCCAACTTAGGCACTTAAAATCTTCAGAAATTTGGCTAAGGACTAAGTTTGAATCTCCAAAAATCTTTACATCTCTAACAGCCATTTCAATTAAAATTTCCAGGCCGATTATAAGTGCTTCATATTCGGCCTGGTTATTTGAACATTTAAAATCTAAAAAGAAAGAGAACGAAGCCTTTCTGCCAGCTGGCGAAATAATAACAATACCTGCTCCTGCTCCATCAGCCGTGCTTGATCCATCAAACATCAAGATCCAAGGAGTCAAGAATATAGCTGATGACTCCAATTCATCATAAACCCATGGATCAATATCAGTTGAAGGATGATCGGCCAAAAAATCAGCCAGAACCCTTCCTTTTACTGATTTTTGTGAGACGTAGATAAAATTAAATTCCATCAAAGCCAAAGTCCACTTACCTATTCGGCCAGTGATCAATGGCCTTGATAGCATATACTTGATCACGTTAGTCTGACAAAGAATGTAAACATCAACAGGCCGCATGTATACTCTCAACTTCATGGCCGAATAGTACAAGGATAAACAAAGCTTCTCAATTGAGGAATATCTGCATTCTACATCAGTTAGTACTCTACTCAGGTTGTAGACAGCCTGCTCCTTTCCATGTTCATTGTCTTGTGCGAGCATACTACCAATTGATTCTTCTGCGGCCGATAAATAAAGCTTTAACGGCCACTTCTTTCTTGGAGGCATTACAATCAGGGGGTTTGCCAAATATTCTTTTATTTTGTCAAAGGCCTTCTGATGGGATTCGTCCCAATGAAATTTCTCATGTGACTTTAATTTTACTAAAGTCGAAAAGACATGCACTCGGCCAGCATGGTTAGAAATGAATCTTCTAAGAAAACCTACTTGGCCGAGGAACCTTTGCACTTGTTTTTTGTCGGCTGGGGCCCTAGCATTTATAATAGCTTTGACCTTGTTCTGATCAACTTCAATACCTCGTTTGTGTACCAAGAACCCCAAGAAATTCCCGGCTGAAACTCCAAATGCACACTTCAATGGGTTCATTTTCAATTTGTGAATCCTCATCCTTTCAAAGGCCCTTTTCAAGTGTTCCAAATGCTGTCTCTTGGCCGATGATTTCACAACCACATCATCTATATAAATTTCCATGAATCGGCCAATCATATCATGAAAGATAGAATTCATTGCCCTTTGATAAGTAGCCCCAGCATTTTTTAGGCCAAATGGCATCACAATCCACTCAAAAGTACCAATTGACCCAGGACATCTAAAAGCCGTTTTATGAACATCTTCCTCGGCTAAATAGATTTGATTATAACCTGAATGGCCGTCCATAAAAGACAATATTTCATGCTTAGCGGCCGAATCAATAAGTTGATCGGCCACAGGCATTGGATATTCATCTTTTGGAGTGGCATTATTTAAATTGCGAAAATCCACACAAACTCTAAGTTTGCCATTCTTCTTCATTACCGGAACAACATTAGACAACCATTCAACATACCTAACTGTTCGAATAAATCCTGCCTTAAGAAGTCTCTCAATTTCTTCTTTAATTTTGAGCATTACTTCCGAAGACATCCTTCTTGGTGGTTGTTTATATGGCTGAAAATCTTTCTTGATCGGTAATCTATGTTCTACCAATTTTCTAGACAGGCCAGGCATCTCTTCATAACTCCAAGCAAAGCAATCCTTATATTCATTTAATAATTTAATCAAATCGGCCTGGAATTTAGGCTCAAGCAAAGCACTAACAAATAATGGCCGATTATCTTTTTTAGTACCAACATTTATTTCCAATAAAGGATCTTGCACCTCTGCTTTATTATCTTCCATCCTGGAAGGGGCTGACTCCAAATCTTCAAGTTGGATTGCATCCAGCTTTTCGAAACCTTCTTCAATTATATCGGCCGTGCTGGCCGATACCTCTTCATATAGTTGTTATTCTCTGGCCAATCTCTTCTCAGCCAGATATGCTTTCAGTCTGATGCAAGCGGCCCTGAAAGCTTGCCGCTTCTTTTCTTCATTGGTTTTGTGATCCATTAGTAACATCTTCAATGTCCTTGATGGTCAACCTGAAAATATCAATTTTCGGCCGAGCTGCTTCTGACAATAATTCTTTAATATCAGCATTAATTAAATTCTTCTTCATTGTTGCCGCTGCTGGTCGTCCCATCCTGTTAATGCCAACAAATTTGATAGGTACAACAGTTTCATCATAAAGTGCAGCCTCAGCCGAATACACCCTAGCTATAAAGGGTTTGTTATCGGCCTCAACAATTTTTACCTCATTTCCGTCCCAAAAAATCAACATTTGATGCAAGGTTGATGGGATGCACATGTTAGGATGAATCCAATCTCGGCCTAAAAGGAGATTATAGGCCGCGGTTGAATCAATGATAAAGAAAGCCGTAAAGGATGTCTTACCGCCAATAGTAATTTCCAAAGGTAGAATACCTTTAGTGTTACTAGATCCTCCATTAAAACCACTGATGGCCACGTCGGTTGGTACTATATCATCCATGGTTTTACCCAATTTCTTCAAAGTAGTTGCTGGAATGAAATTCACCACCGAACCATTGTCAACCAAAACCCTATTGATTGGCTGACCCTCAACCCATACTTTAACATACAACGACCTCAACTGCTGTGTCATGGACAAAGGTGGTTTTTCGAAAATGATTTTATCGGCCTTAGATGGCTGATCCTGAGAGATCAATCCTATCCCGGCCGATGAACTTGTCGAATCGTTCTTAATTTCTGAAGATTCAGCCTTTTCTTCCTGCTTGGCTGACTCAACATCCCTGTTCATCGTTGGTTCTATACTTGCTCCAAACACAGAAGGCAAAACAAATACCATGTTACAATTTACCTTATCCGGGAGAGAACCAAAACGAATTCTGTACTTGGCCGCATGCTTTGGATCCTGGTCGGGCTGATCATCTTTTTTTTCATAAAAGCATGCCTTATTCTCAAAGGATGTAACGACCTCCATGTCTTCAGCCACCACTGGTTCAATTTTCCTTTCTAGTTGATCATGGTCGATCTTGTCTTCTTTCCTTTTGAGTTCTGCATTTTTCCTTTGCATCCTCCTTTTTTGGGTACGTGTAGGAGGCTGCTTAGGAAACTTTGGGTGACTTACTCGAGTCCATCTGCCATGGTCAACCAAAGGAGGCCTAACCGTTCTTACACGGCTAGATTCTTCTCCTTTTTGAACCCATATTTCTGACTGAATTGTTGGTTTCCTTTTGAAACTAGGATAAAAATGTTGTTCTGGCAGGACTCTATCGGCCACCGATGACCGAATGATTCTCACTGCCCTCGGCCCATTTTCTCTAAATATTGATCGATTGATTTCTTCGTGATTCTGTCTAGGCTGATGGCCTAACCTTTCATGAACACTGCGCTTTCTGGTTGATTGGAAATAGCCCCTCTTGTCTGAGTCATTCCTTCGGCCTTTGCAATTTGGACAACAACCATGGTTGATGAGGGCAATTTGAGCTTCTCTTAACTGAATTTCCAAGTCCTTAACTTTCTGCTCATCATTACTGGCCGATGAACTTCCAAGAACTTTTGGTAATCTTTCCTGTCTACCATTATCAGCGGCTTTTTCAGTTACCAGGCTGATTACATTGGTACTGACAATATTAGGAAATGGATCGCCATCGACCCCCATTACATCTAGCTTCTTTTCAGGGAATTTCAATACACCTTCATCGATAGATTTCTGCAATACATTTCTAAATACATAACAATTGTTAGTAGTATGATTCCATGAATTATGAAATTTGCAGAACTCTCTTCCTTTTAAATCATTGGTCGATGGTATATTGTGTCCTTTTGGCAAAACGATTTGTTTGTCGGCCAACAAATGATCAAAAATTTGTTCTGTTTTGGCCAGATCAAACGTATAAACCTTACCAGTATCAGCCGTACCCTTCCTGGCCGATGAAGTCGATGGCTGAGTACCACTGGTGGATACATTTGGTTTTGTTAAAGCGTCACATACATAAGGTTTCTTTAGAATGACTTCGGCTAAATTAGCTTCAAAATCTTCCTCTTCAACCACATCAGTTGAATAAACTTCATAGTTGGGGTCCCTATAGTACGTACCTTTAGAGGAATTTTTTCGTTCTTTCTCCTCTTTGAGAACCAACTCATACCTGGTAGCTTTCTCGGCCAGGTCATACATGTCACGAAATGGAACTCCTTCAAACCTCTTCCGAAGTTCAAAATCAAGGCCGTTCAAAGCCAAACGAATGTACTCCTGTTCTGGAAGAGGTACACGACATCTTAATCTTGCTCTCCTGAATCTTGCAATGAATGTCTCGACCGATTCACTAGGCAATTGACTTAGCCTGGATAAATCGGCCAGAGTAGGTTCTGTCTCCGTACGGTAGAACTGATTGTGGAATAATTCCTCCATCTGTGGCCAATTAAAAACAGAGTTAGGAGGTAGACGAATATACCATGAAAAAGCTGCCCCTGTCAAAGAGTTAGGAAAAAGTCTCAATTTCAACCACGGGCTAACACTGGCCTCTCCACATTGAACCGTGAATCGGCCAATGTGTTCCACGGTCGATTGATTCCCTTCTCCACTAAAGGTTACAAAGTCAGGGACTTTATATCCTCTAGGGAACTCAACTTGGTCTACCACCTCTGGATAAGGAGTTCTATAAATTGGTCGGCCGGCACCTCTAAGTTCCAGGCCATATTCTTCTGTGAGTAAATCAGCTAATTGTCTTCTATCTAACATGACTTGAGGTTGCTGATTTAATATTGGTGGTACCTGATTAAAAACTGGCGGCTGATTAGCCGCTGGTTGATAGCAATTCGGCCAATCATGTGGCTGATTAGCCAGATTCTGCCCCCCGAGCCCTACCTGTGGCGGCACATGAGTATACAGTAGGTTCGGTGGCCTCCACCTGATCTGATTGCCCCCCGAGTTCAAAGGCATCCGAGGAGGGTTTGGTAGAATTACCTGTGGCTGCGAACCTACTACTGGTGGCTGATTAGAACCTGCCAACGTAGGCTGAGGATAGCTTTCTGCCCAGGTGAGTAGCGTATGAACCGGCTGACTTGATGTTGTACCTGGTTGGAGTGTCACTACTGGCGGCCATGGCTGTGATGTTTCAACGGCCCTCTCTGGCCGAACAGCTTGTGATAGATTCGGCTGAGAAGCCGATTCCTGATTGTTGGAGCTGCTAGCTTGAGTCGGCTTGTTCAAAATAAAGGCTGAGAGTTGGGACATATTTTCATGCAAGTCGTTGTATCGTGCTCCCATCCTTCCCATTGCATCTACCAAGGAGCTAACCTGTGCTTGAAGAACGGCTAACTCATCAGTAGGACCTGCTGCAGAGTTCTCAGCCTGTACTGGCTGATCGCCTTCCTCCAAATCTTCATCAGTAGCCACGGCCTTAGAATTTTTTGTGAGCCGCGGCATATTTGCCTCTTTTATAACACTCTAGTAGTAGTCCCACCGGGCGTGCCAAAACGTGTTCGCGCGGTTTTTGTTCCCTACGTCGGTCGATGGACTCTTCGCGGGCGTGCCAGAGTATTTGTACAAAATACCCAAAATATGTAATTGAACACCAGCCTATCCCTTTTTCCGATGGCTGACTCTCAGGCGATTGTGTGGGAGAGAGACTAGTAAGAACTCCCAGCAAGGTTCTTTTATGCCTTGTTTGTAGTAAGGACTTTTTAGAGTGTCTAAAGAAATGCAACGGCTGATGAATGTTTGAATGGATGGAATGGCCGAGTGAAGACAGGCGGCAAGAACTTAATCGATTGCCGGCCGAACGTGATGGCGAGAACTTAATCAATCGCCATCAGCCAAACACAATGGCAAGAATTTAATCGATCGCCACTGAAACGTGATAGCAAGAATTTAATCAATTGCCATCAACCAAGTAATGACAAGAATTTAATCAATTGTCACTACGATTCAATGGCAAGAATTTAATCAATTGCCATTGAATTAAAAGCCTAACTAAAATTGCGTAATTTAAATTGGCATAATTGAAATTGAAAGAAAGTAAATGGCTGAATTGAAATAGTTGACAATGATCTAATCAATTGCCATTAAATTGAAATAAAGAAACTGATAGGAAAAAATGACGTAGAGTCAATTGAAAACATTTTTAGTTGAAATGCATGTTTTGTGGTGGTGCTGGACAAGTTAGAAATGGAATACAATACTTCTATTTATAGAAGTTCTATCTCAACTTATTTTCCTAAGTTATTGCTAGAAAATCTCTCCTTCTTTGATTCTTTTTCTTCACAATTTGAACTCAGTCAAATCCTATTGTTATTCTGCTTCCTTTCTTGTTTTGTTTCAGTAGGAAATCTCTGTAAAAACAACCTTCCTCGATTTAATCACATGTAAGTTGCCGAGATATTGCTAAAACGTTGCTAGAAAGTTGCTGAAAAGTTGCTAATTTTTAGCAACTCCCCTCCTTAAGTTTAGCAGCCGTGTTCTATCCCAAGTGGCCCATCCTTTAGCGCCATGTCTTCAAAGCTTTCCTTCTTTCATCAAACTAAACTTCCTATTTTATAGGAATTTAGTTATTGAGTTTCATCCAAACTCTAGCCTTTTCCTTTTCTGTTAACATCCCATTTTGAAAAAAGTCAAATGTGAGTTGCTATATTTCAGCAACTGCCATATC